TGGGATTCCTTTTGGGCTCAAGGACAGTTGTTCTTATGACCATGGGTTCTGGCCAGAGGCTTCTGCTTGGGCTATTTAAGGCCCCAGCAGCTGGAGCTGGGGTAGGATGATTATGCCTGGAACATGGGTGGAGAAGGCTCCCAGTGGTACAGTGACCTCTGACCTCACAGGGCCTCCAGGGCTGGAGCGCTCATGGGGAGTGGGCTTTCTGTCTGCCTGGCAGGGTGCTGAGGCCTGTGGATACTAGGACTAGGAGCCTGAGGAGAAGAGTCCCAGTAGCCTGGCATGGTGGTGCACACCTATAATCCCAGTACTTAGGAGGCCGAGGGAGAAGGATCGCTGTGAGTTCAAGGTCAGCCGGAACCACATAGCAAGACCCTGTCTCAAAAAAAAAAAACAAAAAAAAAAACAAGTTCCAAGCCCAAAGCACTGAGAAACTCTGGCAGGCCTAGGGTGGGGAGCTGCTCTTTGCCCAGGATTCAGGAACCACATACAGGGAGGTGGGGTGTCCTCTCTGCTTCCACTCCAGCAGCATGCTTAGACTGGGGCATCTTTGTTCATCCCCCTTTCTCTGGCTCTGTTGCTTTGGACACCCAGCAGATTCTCTACTCCTTCTGGATAAAGCCTGTTCGGCGTGTGGACAAGCCACAGGAGGGACATGGTTTCCTCTCCCAGGTCCCATCTTGCCTCTGGGTGAGACAGGCAGTTCCCGAATGCTCGGCTCGGGCATCTCCTGATCAGGAAAAGGACTCCCTAGTTAGCCGCTGGGCTGCATGACAAAGTGCTGCCCTCCACTGTGGTCCGGATGGCCGGGCACAGAGGAGCCCAGCCGCCCAGGCAGGCATTATTTTGGTTGTTGACTTTGATGCGCCAAAGAAGTGATGACACAGAAGCCTGGGGCCTGGCTCAGGACCGAAAGCTTGTTCGTGATTAGAGGGGGTAACGGCCCCCGTGGAGCTCCTCATCGTGTGCGCAGAGCTCAGCTGCCAACTCTGTCTCTCCTAGGGTTCTAAAGACAGTGGGAGTGCCCCCCAGCACCCCAGGGTCTGCCTCTGTCCAGGGTCCGAGTCAGGATGACCCGCTTATCTGAAGGTTCAATGTCCCAGTCCGGAGAAGACTGTCCCCTTCCAGCCCAGCCTCCTGCAGACTGCCAGGCCTCTGGTCTAGAAAGCCCCTGACGTGTTACGTTGGGCCTTCCCTGGACTCTCAGTCTGTCTAGGCTGTAGAGACTTTCACATAAAGATCTAGTTGGGATTCTCTTGAAAAACTGGATGACTTAGCAACCCCAGACCCGCCTTGCTACAGTTGGCTGGAGTTGCATGACGGTGGCTGCCACGGGATACGCACGAGCATGGGCCCTGCAGTCTCCCACCACTGACTCCCCCTCTTCGTGGGGGACCCGCTCTTGGCCACATCAGTGCCGTCTTTCATCCAGCAGGTGGCACAGCAAATGGCAAGCACGGTACCCGTCCAGTCACACTGTCTCCATTCAGCTCCTGGCTTCCCCTGAGCACTGTGGGCCTTTGCACATTGCCGAACCCCTTGGTGGCTTGGTGGCCTCACTGTACAATTGCAGCTGGCCTTTTAGGGCCGATGTGTTTACTCAGCAGGGTTAAATTAGAGCCGTATGTAGCAGGTACTCGGCGAGTGTTAACTGTTACTGTTGTGGTCACTGTCATTACTGTGCTGTCCTCTGTGTCTGTCTGTGTTATTTGCCTGGCATCTGTAGGCGCCCAGGGTCCGGTGCCCCATCTTCTCGTTGCCAGCCGTCTCCGTGCCTGGCACATGGCAAATGGGCTGATGAGTGTGATGAGTGGCACGACGAGCCCAGAGCCGTGGAGGCAGTGTGGCAGAGTGCTTTGGGACAGAGGTCTGCCCTGCTCTCAGGTGAGAGCCCTGGTGAGAGCCCTAGCTTTCTGCCGGTTTTCTCCGCTGTGAGGCGGTGTCTGCCACTCAGAGTGGGAAGGGACTGAGTGAGGGACTGTGTGTAACTCACTGGGCTTAGTTCACACGGGCGGACCTCGGTGGGGTGCTGGCGTCACCTGCGACAGCTCTCCTTTCCATGACACTTGGCCTTCACACTGCTCTTGCCTGGAGGCTCCTTGTTTGCCTGCCTCCCTGTCCTGTGCACGGGAGCTGCACTGTGGAGGAGACTGGCGCTCGGGTGCTGTCCGTCACAGGTGCTGGTGAACTCGCTGAGCCGCTAGGGGCTGTCTGGCCAGGGGTGGAGGGACGAGCGCAGGGTAGGGCCGCTGCCGGTTTGTGCTCTCTGATTCTTCTGGTTCTGCCATCTGCTGTGAGGACACTTCTGCCTTCGGCCAGCTCCCCTAGTGGTCACAGGATGGTGATGAAGATTCTGCCCGGGTCCCTTGCTCGTAGCTGAACCCACCATGGGCGCAAGCTGGTTGCCTCCTATCCAGGGCATGGCTGGCAGCGGGGAGACCTGGTCTCTCCTAGTTGTGGTGCCTGAGCTGTGCAGGAGATGCTTTAGGGGCTGCTGGCTGTTCTAGGGTGCGACCCCACTCAGGTCAGCACACTCCTGCAGGTGGCACTGAGGTATGAACGGCACACGTGGGTCACGCGTCGTCCATGCCAAATTTGGGGTCGTGGAGGCTGGCATTACTGAGAGTCACTCTTAGCGTCACCTCTTAGACCACATTAGTTTATCACACCATAGAAGAATACTGTCTCCACCAGGGCCAGTGGCTGGATGTTCCGTGTGTGTGTGTGTGTGTGTGTGTGTGTGTGTGTGTGTGTGTGTCCCATAGACTGACATCCCCACTGGTCCTTCAGGCTCCTGGGCAGACATAATCCCGGGTCTGGGGCTCCTAGTGGCCGTGCAGCTTGGGCAACAACTCGGGGATGATGAGCTGCCTGTCTTCCCCACCAAGAGCCACGCTATGTGAGGAAAGGGCAGGGGCTGTGCTGGGGTTGGAGTGCTTTGGGAGCCCCCAGAGCTGCTCTGAGCCTCTGAAGCCCAGGACTGTTAAGAAGCAGGCGGTGGGGTGGGGCTGAGGTGTGGACAGCCTCTGTCTCTCTGCCTCTCTGCAAGCACTCGGGCAGGCGGGCTTTGTGTGTGTGTGTGTGTGTGTGTGTGTGTGTGTGTGTGTGTGTGGCATGTGCGGTTTCCAGACACAGCTGACTCGGTGGGTTTTGGCAGCAGACTACAGGATGTTGGATTGCATCCTGATTGTGTCACCCTTGGAAGAAGAGGATGAATAAACACATAGCCTTCTCTGCAAGCACAGCACGCCTTACATTTTAGAGAATTTTAGTCTTGCCCAAAAAGAAGAAAGCTCCAGCCTGACTGTTCTGTCCTCCATTTGATCCTCAAGCTGCCACGAGCAGGTGGGACGGAGACTAAATAATCAAGCCCTGTATGAGGTGGGCGGCGTGGTGGTGACTGCAGCCCATGTTCGGCTTATGAATGGCCAGTGTCCTCCAGGTCTGGGGCAGGGGAGGGTGGCAAGGATGGGAAACCTGACTCTCCCAACTTGCAGCTGACTTCCCGAAGCTTGTGGAATACATGGGGAACTCATATATTTAAAGGGTGGCTAACAGTGCAAGGAAGTGGGATCACACTGGTGGGGGCTCTGGACGGGCTATAAGTGCTCAGGCCAGGTGAGAACAGGTGCCAGGGAAAAGGTAGAGCTCTGGGGCCTGGCGAAGGGCAGCACTGGAAAGGTGAATTTGGAAGTAACCTGCTGGTTGGAATTGAGCCCGTGGGGACGATCGGGAACGCCATGCCAACGGCTTCGGCACATCCTGGGCTCCAGGTGCTGTTTTCGATGAGGGAAAGCTGCCGGGGGACCTCTTTGCTGGGTTGTTTGTTGCCCTAATGGGGCTGGACTTGAGTGGGGAGATTCGGACATGCTGCCGTGGGAACGGGTAGTGGGGAAGGAGGATCAGCTGTTTCAGAGGGTCCTTTGAGAGAGGGGGTTTGGAGAGAACGGGTTCTCAGGGGTTCCCCAGACTTGTGTGTGCGTTGCCCAGGTGGCCCTGTGGGCCCTCGGCTGTAAGAGACACACTTAGATGTCCTTGGTGCAGGGCTGAGGTGGGAGGTGTGGGTTTGTGCAGAAGTTGGATTTGAGGGCCGGAGCGCTCTGATTGCAGGGAGAGACTGACTGGAAGCCGTGGCTGCAGAGGTCAGGTGCCTGGTGCCAGGAGGTCCCTCTGCAGGACAGGAGCCTGGCCCTTCCATCTAGTCCTCAGCCCGTGCTCTGTATCTGTACCTGCATTTGCAGAAGGGCTGCAGTAGCTCCAATTGGCAGCTTCTTTGCCAGTCCTTCAGGACCTGTCTCCTGTCCTCTGCAGCTGGGAGCAGGTGGGACCCTGAGCCCTCGGCTCTTTCCTGTCCTTGTGCTTTCAAGCTGGAGTCAGGAAGAGGGGCCCCCTAAGGATGAGGCTCATTTCTGCCCAGCGTGGAGCTGAGTCCATCTGCCCCAAAGTGGGGCTGAGCCTGGGAACTTCCCCTGGGGGGCAGCACCTTGCTGTCTTTCCCAGGCAAGCCAGAAAAGCCGTCCACACACACGAGTCTGCCCTGGGTCCCCTGCCTCCGGTCTTTGCGGCTTCTCTCTATAGTGTGATGGGCCAGCTCCAGTGCTCCAGCTCAACCGGGGTTGGCTGCCCCCTCTCTGCAGAGGCCCGGCACAACACCCTCCCTCGATCCTCTAAGTACCGAGGCTGGACCGGACTGGAGGGTGGCGGGATGGGTGGTGGGCCCTCTTTATGAGGGCCCGTGCCTCAGTGGGGCCCTTGGGCGCGCTCTGCTCTTGGGGGTGTGCGACGGGGGCTGGCCATGGAGGCTCATGTGCTGGAGCGTGCGCGAGTGGTTGGGAAAGGGAGGGCCTCTGGGGGGCGGCAGCCTTACCCTCTCCCCACAGCCAGGCGTGGAGCTCCGGTGCTGTCCGTCTGGGGCTTGCGTTGCACTCAGGTGCGATCTCCCTGACTTGCACTGCTTCCCCGGGGGCTCAGTGCTTTGCTTTGCTTCTCTCTTGCAGAATGTGGAGCCGGAGTCCCGGAACCTCTCCCTGGGCGGCCATGTGGGCTTCGACAGCCTCCCTGACCAGCTGGTCAGCAAGTCAGTCACTCAAGGCTTCAGCTTCAACATCCTCTGTGTGGGTGAGTGCCGTGGCCTGGCCAGGGACATCTTCAAACAGAGGGTGGCTGAGAGCCTTCAGGTGCCCTGGCTACCTGTCCAGCTGAGTGGGGCTTCCCAGACAGAGTACAAGGGTTTGGTTGGTGTGTCTGCCAGGGTGCAGGACAGGATCGGAGCTGTGGCCCGACTCCAGGCCCGTCTTGTCATGAAGAGCACACAGGATTAGGCACATGAAAGTGCTTTATAAACTGCAGGTATTTGTCACAGTGATTTTGATTCATTTATTTAAAAAGCAAGAACTCACCATGTGTCAAGGATGCTGTGGGGAAGCAGTCTCTGCCCTTCATCACAGTAGCATGTGACAGATATCCAGCCCGTGCCTGAACAGATGGCCCCACACAGGGTACTTTCTCTGGAGCGCCTGGCCAGACCCTCTGTCGTTTCCTTTCACCTGCCACAGTTAGAACGACATGGAGCGGAGGCAGCTCAGGGCATACAGGCTGAACCACTGGCGGCTTTAGACCCTGGCCCTGCTGCAGCTCCGGGCCCACGCTGGGCCTTGTAGGGATGGGGCCCAGGGCAGGCTGTGCATTAGATGACCTACCACCGTCCTTCCCTGCTTCCTTGTTCTGCCTCTTCTCTCCTCTTTCCATCTTCCCCTTCTACCCCCACCCCCTTTCCTTTCTTGCATTGCTGGGGATCAAACCCAGGGTCTGATACATTCAAGCGCCATGGGACCAGCCCCCCCACATTATTTCTGAGGCCTCTGAGACAAGGGCTGGAGACATGATGGAGTGGCTGCCACTTTTGATTGTATCAGGGCTGAGAACGCCTGAGCCCTCACCTGGCCTGGACCCCAGCCACGGAGAGTCTCATTCCCAGCCTCTGGGGCTCATTCTCTCCCTCTTGTCCCCGCCCTGCAGGGGAGACCGGCATTGGCAAGTCCACCCTGATGAACACACTCTTCAACACGACCTTTGAGACCGAGGAGGCCAGTCACCACGAGGAGTGCGTGCACCTGCGGCCTCAGACCTACGACCTCCAGGAGAGCAATGTGCACCTCAAGCTGACCATTGTGGACGCTGTGGGTTTCGGGGACCAGATCAATAAGGACGACAGGCAAGAGGCGGGAAGGGCGGCCCTGCCTGGCCTCATCCATCTCTCCCGTGGCAACCACGGTTCTCTGTTGCCCAGGCACCCCTTATTTCAAACTGCCCCCAGTCCGATACCCCCCACACTTCAGAGGGGCCTGGGAGGATGTCAGGGAACATCTGGAGCTCTGGGGTCGGGAGCTGAGTGGTTGTTCCTTGGGGCGGGTTGGCAGAAGGGCTCTCCCAGAGAGAGCACAGCAGTTTGTTCCGTGGGAAGAAGAGGGGCTGGTGGCGAGGGTGGGCAGCCTGGTCCCTGGGCCGCGGCTCAGCTCTTGCCTCCCAGGTGACGGAGCTGTCTGTAGTTACAGGCCCATAGTCGACTACATCGATGCACAGTTTGAAAACTATCTGCAGGAGGAGCTGAAGATCCGCCGCTCCCTCTTCGACTACCACGACACGAGGATCCATGTGTGCCTCTACTTCATCACGCCCACTGGGCACTCCCTGAAGTCCTTGGACCTGGTGACCATGAAGAAGCTAGACAGCAAGGTGCGTGCCCCACCCCTGTGCTGCCTTCCTTGGGACTGGCTGTCCCTTGGGTCCGCAGGGACGCGGTCAGGGGCTCGCACACAGCCCCTTGGCTTGGTTCTCTCCGGGTCCTATCTTGCAGTGGGCCCCACCACTCTCACTGGTCTCCAGGGCACCTCTCCTCGGGGCTTTTTCTCGAGTCCCAGCCCTAAGCCCCTTCCTTCTTGTTGTCAGCCCTGCTGGCTTGTTTCCCTCCTCCCGGAATGATGGCCGCCTCAACACGCTTTCTGTTCCGAGTGTCCCTTCCCTTCCCTTCCCGCCTCAGCCTCCTCCATGTCCCCTACTCCAGAGTCCTAGCTCTGCCCGCCTCGAGCCCTTTCTCTCTTGACATGGCCTCCCCGTGGATTTTGTCTGAGCCCTCTGGTGGGAGGAGAGCATGGCCCAGAATTGGGGAGACACGAGGAGACGTGAGGGTGGCTTTGTGGAGGGGTCAGGAATAGTTTGGGGCCCTGGAGATGCCACAGTCACCTGTCAGCTCCCACGTCACTGCCTTCCCCCTCGAGTTACTTTTCACCATTAAAATCTTTGAATCAAAGAAATCCTGGAGGGCTGTGGATTTAGCTCAGCGGCACAGTACCTGCCTGGCAAGCCCGAGGTCATGAGTTCGATTCTCGGTACCAGGGAAAATAAAAGAAATTTTTGAGATTTTCCCATGACTGCTGCGGATGGCTCACCTTACCTGCTTGGCGGGGAGTTGAGTCCTCAGTTCCTGCTTCTGTCACGCCCTGGAACAGTTAAGATGTCAGACATTCTGGGTCAAAGCTGACTGTGTCCAGGGGGACTAATTCTAGGGCTGGATGGTGATTCAGGGGAACCAGAGCTGTAAGAAGCTGGCAGCTGGTTGCCATGGTTACAGCCCATCACCGTGGCCTCAGGACTGTTCCTGGGTGCAGCTTGATCTTCCTGGCTTTCTGCTCCTCTGTGTAGGGACATGGCTTGGGCGGGGCTGTCTGTGGGCAGCCAGCTCACCTGCTCACCCTCCCCCAATCCTGGCAGGTGAACATAATTCCCATCATTGCCAAGGCTGACACCATCTCCAAGAGTGAGCTCCACAAGTTCAAGATCAAGATCATGGGCGAGTTGGTCAGCAATGGGGTCCAGATCTACCAGTTTCCCACTGATGACGAGGCTGTCGCGGAGATTAATGCAGTCATGAATGTGAGTGTTGAGCAAGAGCCGTGGCTCCAGGGCTGGGCGGTGCGGAGCAGCCAGATCGCAGGCACAGCCCCGGGAGCCTGTGTCCGCCGGGATTCCAGCCTTACGTGCTCCGGGACAAGCAGATAATGGGCATCTGCCACCAGCCAGCCCTGTGTGCTGTGGGCAGGGGTGAGGTGGAGCTGGACGTTGGGCTGCCCTGGGCTTGGCTGGACTCAGTGACACAAGGCCTGGCCTCGGGGTGGGAAGCTAAAGCCTGTAGGGGTGAGAGATGGGAGGCCAGGGTTTGGGAACCTGAGAGGGAGCCAGGCCCACAGGCCCTTTTAGGGAGCTCTAATGGCCCTGAAAAGAACACCCCCAAAGACTCTGGGAAAGAACATGTCGGAGTCAGGAATGGCAAGGGGAGGGCTGACAGTTCAGCTCACTGACACTTTGGAAAATCTAGAACATTTCTCTAAAAGCTAGAAGCCCAGTGTGGTGGCGCATGCCTATAAACCCAGCACCTGGGAGGCTGAGACAGGAGGATTGCTGAGAGTTCGAGGCCAGCCTGGGCTACATAGGGAGTTCCAGGCCGGTCTGAACTGCATAGTGAGACCCTGCCTCAGAAAACCAAAAACAAGAGCAACAACAACAAAACCCCCGCAGAAGCGCTGGGCTCAAGGCTCTCGCCACAGGGCCCGCAGGAGTCTGCACTCCGGTGTCTGCTCGGTGCTCACGCGTACCTGGGCCCTTTCCAGGCACACCTGCCCTTTGCTGTGGTGGGCAGCACCGAGGAGGTGAAGGTGGGAAACAAGCTGGTCCGAGCGCGGCAGTACCCCTGGGGAGTGGTGCAGGGTGAGTGTGGCCGAGCCAGTGCCCTCCGCCCTGCTGCCTGCGGCCCTGCCCCGCCTGCGCTGCCCTCCTCAGCCCACCCGCGCGCCGCCTCACCCTGGCCGTGTGCACACCGTCTCCCTGCCCGCCCGCGTGCCTGCCTCACGCCCCTGTGCTCCCGCTTCCAGTGGAGAATGAGAATCACTGCGACTTCGTGAAGCTCCGGGAGATGCTGATCCGGGTGAACATGGAGGACCTTCGCGAGCAGACCCACAGTCGGCACTATGAGCTCTACCGGCGCTGCAAGCTGGAGGAGATGGGCTTCCAGGACAGTGACGGTGACAGCCAGCCCTTCAGGTGACAGCCCACGCCTGCCCTCTCCGGTCGAGTTGGGCCAGGCTGGGTGGAGCTGCTGGGCGCCCAGTCTCCTCTCACTCCAGGGCCCTCTGAGTCCATGCTTGGGCTCCGCCCCTGCTGTCTGCCATGTCCCACCCTGGACCTCCCTGCTCTGCGTCTCCACAGCCTTCAAGAGACGTACGAGGCCAAGAGGAAGGAGTTCCTGAGTGAGCTGCAGAGGAAGGAGGAAGAGATGAGGCAGATGTTCGTCAACAAAGTGAAGGAGACCGAGCTGGAGCTGAAGGAGAAAGAAAGGGAGGTGCGTGCCCCCCGGGTCGGAGGCTGCGGGTGCGGAGGTTGTCGGTGCGGAGGTTGGGCCTCAGCCCGGCGTGCCCGGGTGTGCGCCAAGCGCTGCTCTTTCCACCCAGCTGCACGAGAAGTTTGAGCACCTGAAGAGGCTCCACCAGGAGGAGAAGCGCAAGGTGGAGGAGAAGCGCCGGGAGCTGGAGGAGGAGACCAGCGCCTTCAACTGCAGGAAGGCGGCCGTGGAGGCCCTGCAGTCCCAGGCCTTACACGCCACCTCACAGCAGCCCCTGAGGAAGGACAAGGACAAGAAGAAGTAGGTGGTGGCCCCGCGCTGACCCTTTCTCCCTGCACTCTCTCTCCTGCTCCTGTGAGCCTGCTACTTCCATCCTTGAGCTCGCTCCCTCCCTCTGTCTCTCTCTCTCTTTCTTTCTCTCTCTCTTGCTCTCTCCCGCTCTTTCCCTCTCGCTGTCACTCCTGTTTGTTCCCTTGCTTTCCACTCTTGCTGTTTTTCTTGCACTGGTGCTCTTGGTGTCTCAATCCGGATCTCTCTCCCCCTCCCCCCTCCCCTCTCCCCTCCCCATCCCCCTTCAGTGACCTCAGCCTCTCCCTCTCCTCCTGTCTCTCTCCTCTCTTTGCTTTCTTGCTCACTGCAGGTTTGTGCTCCTGCAGCGCTCTCAGCCCTGCTCTTTCTTCCCCTACAGGCAGGCAGAGCTTGAGAGGTGGAGCTCCAGGTCTGGGGGAGTCGCTCAGGCCCTGGGGCTGTTGGCATTTCTGCGTGGACAGTCTCTGAGGCCGTGGGTGTGGGCCCCACAGCGGCTGGCAGGGGTGACCTAGGGCAGCAGGCACTGGAGGCCAGGCAGCACTGCCCCCTGGACTCTGTGATTGCTCTGGAGCTATTTTGAAGGGATGTGGGTTGAACTGCAGTCCCCTGCAGGGGCTACGTGGATTTTGCTAGGGAGTGGAGCTGCCCCTCTAGGGGAAGCTAAAGTTGTTCCTGTAGAGAAGGGAAAGAAAGATAGGAATGGCACAGCCTCCAGGGATGTTGTCCGCTTGGTGGCCAGGTGGGGAACTCTGAGTCACTTCTGTTTGGCCTTTTTTTGGATGTGTGTGTCCATGGGGGTGGAACCCAAGGCCTCACATATGCTAGACAAGCCTATGACCCCTGAGCCCCGCCCCAGCCCTCCGTGGTATCTTTTACAGCCAGTGTCCACACCCTGAGCTGGAGCCCACATGCCCAGGCTGCCAGGCTCTCTCGCCCAGCCACACTGCACAGTGAGCATCTCCATGCCCTCTGTTTCTCCTGCCCTTGGCCGATCTGGTGATCTGGTACCGTCCTTTCCATGGCAGCCCAGGAAATAAGCGAGTGTGCCGTCCTGGCCCCCGCCTGCACTCCATCTCCTGGAGTGTTTGGGCTTTGCGAGCGCAGACCCTTTCTCCTTGACAGCGGTGAGGCTGGTGGTCAGGGCCACCAAGCGCGCAGTCAGCTGTGGCCGTGGGACATGGCTTCTGGCACGAACGCTCCCGGGGGCCACTTCCACATTGCGTTCTGAATGTACACAGGCCTGCGTGCGCAGGCACACACAGCGCTGTCTGCCTGTCTGTCCCGCCCCGTGACGCACGCAGCACAGGGCATGCATCTCCCCACACAGCGCGGGTGCACAGGTGCAAACTGGAGGGAAGAGGTGGAAAGTGCTTCTCCTGAGGGACCTGGGCCAGAACCAGGCATGAGGAGTTGGAGTCTAGTTGTCATTTTTTTTTCCTTAAGTGGAAATAGTGATTTTTTTTTCACATTTTTAAAAACTTGAGTTGGTCGTGTACATAACACGTCTTAGGTTTTTTGTTTTTTTTTTAACTTCCCTTTCCTCCCCCACTTTCCCTCGTCTTCGGCCCCCTTTCCCATTTCAGTTGTCATTTCCAAGGCCTCCTTTTTATAATCTGTATCCCAGTGGCCAGTGACCCCACCTCAGCTACTGGCGCTGCTGGGAAGGCTAAGTCCCTTCCAGTCCCCAGGGAAGCCCCAGCCCTGTGCTCCCCTCGACCCTGAGAACTTCCCCTCCTTTCCGGTGGCTCCTACCCCTGGTCCCACGTCCAGCCCTTGGCTTGGTGAGCTTGAGAGTTGGGGGCACCTGTGTGGGTTTCTAGCTGGCCACTCAGAAATCTGGTTTCTCCTTGGGGACACGGGGGACAGAGGACAGAGGCCCAGGGACCCGAAGTGCCTTTGCCCTGCTTCCTGCCTGCTTAGCCGCATCCAACTTGCTAAGGAGAAGCTAGGCAAAGTCTCCAGCAAAGATGCTGTGGAGAAACCTCTCAGAAGTCGAATCAGAGCCCGAGAGTCAGGTTGGGCCTGAGGCCCAGGGGTGCAGGGGGTGGGGAGTTGAGGTGCAGACTGCAGGTTTCCTGCACAGTTTCAAGGGGGCTCGTCTCGTGTCTGGTTGCCCTGGTACATTGCCTTCTAGCTGGGGCCCAGAAAACAGGCCCTTTCTGTTCACTTGATATGGCGGGAAGCTACAGTCCGTTTGGGGGCTGCCCTTGCTGGCTTCTGGAGACCAAAGTGGGCGGGCTGGGTATGGCCCCCAGCAAGTCCTCTCCCAGCCTGGTGGAGGGAATAGGGCAGATTGGGAGTGCATTTTGGAGGCGGGTATTTTTCAGGACCATTTAGTTGAATGGCTTTGATTGGTTGCATTTGTTCTTTAAATTTTAATCCATTTCTGCAAAATTACTTCCCAATCAGATCTTGACCCTCAGCCCGGGACGCCACAAACTGAAGCCAGTTCTGCTTCGCCCGTCACAAATGCCAAACTGACTGCCCTTTCCCAGTGTCCATCTCGCTGTCTTTTGCTTCTGTTTGGTTTGGTCTTCGTATCTTTTAATGTGTCTGTTTTTGTTTTGTTTGTTTTATTTTTATTTTTCAGTTAACGCACGCACAGACTTACATGTCAAGAGCGGACTTTCATGTGTTAAGACTTTCATGTGTTAAGTTGCTTGAGTTACACCTTGTGACCCTTCTCCCATAACATGGTGTGAGGACGGACTGGGAGCCTGGACAGACTCCAGTGTTTACTGCCCTGCCCCACCCCAGCCCAGCCCAGCCCAGCCCGGCCCCAGGCACCCTTAGGTCTGCAGGCCACGCCCTCTATGCAAACGTACAAAAGCCATGAATGCTGGAACCCAAAACTGACGAGGTTTGTTTTTTTCAGAGCCAGTGGCTGGTCTTCCATTTACAGTGTCACTATCCCTTGACGGAGCAGGTGTAAGCCACTCTAGCGAAGGCCCAGCCGCCATGCTAGGCCTCATTGTTCAGCGTCCAGATGGTGACTCCCGAGGTGCCCCAGGCGCAGCCTATGGTCTGGTAAACGCTGCAGGATCGCCCGCTCCCCCTTCATTTTAATTTTTTCTAACCTAGAGTTTAATTTCAGTAATAACTTTGAGACACTTCTGAATTTTTATTTTGGCACCAGCATAAAGACAAATAATATCCTCTCCCATTATTTTTGTAAGTAACCCAGACTCCCTGGTTTTTAAAAACTAAAAAACCTCTAAGCCTTTCTTATGTACAGAGTACTCCTATAATATACAGGGAGAGGTGGGCAATAAACTTCCTGTAATGACAGTGTTTGAACTTTCTTTACCAATGAAAGTGGAACAGGAGCAAGACCACGTCCAGCATTTTTACTGTGAATGTAAATGGAACAGCAGCCCAAAGCCATTGTCTCTGGCTGGAGGTGCTTCCCAGGAAAGGGACCAATGCCATGTCTGTGTGTTAAGTGTTGGATTCCCAGTAAGACTCCCAGCCAACCTCACTTTCCAGTGCAAAGAGCTCTGCTCTGGGGAAGAGGCAGCTGCCCTGAGCTCATTGTTTCTTCCTTCCAGGCTGAGGGACAGGGCAAAGAGGAGGGGACTACCTGATATATTTAGGACAAATTGAGAAAAAATTAGCAGCCTGGGGCTTTCCCCGCTCTGGCTGCACTCTACAGAAGAACATTTTTAAGAACATCCTAGCAGCATTCATTCCTCTACGCTCTTGGTGGTCTGCAAGCGCCTGGGAATGTTGGGGGGACACTCGGCCTGTCACACTGGGAGGTAAGAGGTGCTGTCTGTGCTGCAGCGCAGTGCAGGGCCCTCCGGCTCTCACAGCCTGGCATGCTCCCTGCAGCGGAGCCCTGCGAGGCTGTGCTCGGTATTGCTGGGTTGGTAGCTTTTTATGCCCCTGTATTTCTTCCCATCACCATTTCTCCCTCTCTGCCTGGCCTGTTTTGTCGATTTCCAGGACCAAGGCTGGGCTTCCTCCTGCCCCTCTGAGATGATACTGAGTTGATAGATGGAGGGAGAGCCAGGCACAGTGGTGCATGCCTATACTCCCAGCACTTGGGAGGCTGAGGCAGGAGGATCACTGGGTCTGGCCACATAATGCATTCAAGGCCAGCTTGAATTATATAGGAGACCTTGTTTCAACACCCTACCACACCAAAGAGGAAGGATGGGCTCTTACAGGTCCACCGAGGCACAGCCGGAAAGGGGCAGCCTGTATGGGTGAGGGGCTCCTCATGCCAGCAGTAGAGGAGGTTTTATTGATACGCCAAATGAAAATTCTCCAAGTGTTACACCATGACCAAGGCTGGAAACTTGAACTATCTAGGGAGACCATGTTAAACAGAAAAATATAAATGTAGAATTAGGTACAGCCCTTAGAAGGGGCCTTGAAGATAGAGCTTCATGGGCCCCGCACACTCAAAGGCTGGCGTGGATGGCGAGCAGCTCCTCCACAGGCTGTGTCCGTGTCTGAAAGTATACACACCTGGGTCAGAGCTCGGCCTTTGACGCAGCCTCTCCTGGCTGATGGGTTTTGACAGCAAGGCTCAGTGACCAGCAGTGCTTCTGTGAGAGCGAGGATGCCTGCCTGTCCTGGGCAGACCCTGCCACCTGCCCACCGCAGCCCGCTGGGCAGCCTGGGCCAGGGAAGGCCTTGCTGTGGTTGGCTGCTGGCCTGCCGACCTGAGCCTGCCCAGCATCACCTGCAGTTTTGGGGTCTGCTTTAGCCCACCTCAGTGCACCTCTCCCCTTGCCGTTGTGTTTGGAATTCGGTCATCTTGAGCTGAGACCAGATTACGTCTTGGTGTACAGGGTGAGCATAAAGTCTGACATTCTTTAACCAGCCCCCTGTCATGGAGCGTGACTCCCATGTGCAGATCTGATTTACCCCCCTTTCCTCCTCATTCGTTGGCATTATTTGGGACGTCACGTAGGACCGCCTTGGCGTTTACTATCATGTCTTCCCAGAGCCACGTTGGTTTGGGGTAGAATCACCATATAATTGGGACTTGTGAGGGTGAAAGGGGGTGTGGTTAATCACTACGCTCGCTCGGCCAGCGGCCCTGAACTGGAACCGCCCCAAACCCACCAGGATGTGTGGTCTCATTCACTACGGGCTATGGTTCGCGACTGTACAGACTGACTGCAGTTATGTCTGTCTGTCTGTCTGTCTGTCTGTCTGTGGGGCTCGTTACTGGGTGAGAGGCTGAGGGAGCGTGCCGTGCTAGTCTGTTATGTTAACATGCTTTTCTAAAACTGCTTCACTTGTTAATTCATTTACTCATTCATTGACTGTTTTTGTTCCTCTCCATTCACTTTGTACTGTTTTTTTTTTTTTTCCCATTAAATTTTGCATTTATTTTGAGTTTTTATGGTGTCTTTTTTGGGCAGCTCTTTTGAGTTAACAAATTTCCCAAGCCTATTAATACGCTACAGCTGTGGTAAAATCGAGTTTGTCTTGCTGTGAACCTGAGGGAGGAATCGCATTGTAGTGGTGAATGCTGCCCCAGGCACCTGCGAGTTGCTCTTGGAAGGGAGCAGCAGGGAGGCAAGAGTTCCAGAAAAGAGCAAATGTGTCTGCGGCCCGGGCGTCTTGATGGGGTGACGGGGTGGAGGGCGCGAGGGGGACCTGGGACAACTAACATTTGTGTGCATTCGGCTGCATTCCGTGCACTAACGCCTCTGACCTTCATCATGGTCCCAAGATTAGACATCATCACTCCCTGTTGTATAGGTGAGGCAGGGAGGTGACAGCGTTACCCAGGGTCACACATCAAGTGACTGGAAGGGGGGATGCGAGTATTGGTTGTCTGCATCTGTAATTCCTGGGTGTAGCTGCTCCTTGGCATCCAGCAGAGTCACGGAGGGAGAGTACAGATGGAGCCTTGTTAAGGTCTAGGCTTTGACAGTGGAAGTCTTGTAGCAGTAGTTTTGGAGAGGCGGGACGGTGTTTGGCTAAGGAAGGGCAGACTGGTGGCTGAAGAAAATCACACACAGAACTGAGTCCATTCATTGAAGCCCTTGCTTTGATCCTAGGAAGACTGAAAATGAGGAAATAGGGGCAGAGGTCCGGGAACTGAGAGCTGGGCCGGAAGACTGGCATTCAGACCGCCTTGGCAGGGTGTAGCTCACCTCTACTGGGGGAGGCAGGTGGCAGGGGAGGCAAAGTTCTCATCAAGCTTTGAGGAAGGAGCTGGGCCCCCTCAGTGTGGGAGCAGCATCGCCCAACTTGACCCACTCATCCGGGAAAGAGTATGTGGACAAGTTTGAGAAAGGTTGGTGGTGTCTCCTACATGAGCCCCCTGTACTCCGTCTGCCGCTGGGCTTTCTCCCATTTCCGCTTGCTGTGGCCTTCGCCAATCCCTACCCCTCTGGAGAGGGGACAAAAGGAAGCTGGGTTGTGCCTGTTAATCCCCCTGCTGGGTTCCCCATGTCTGTGAAATGTTAGAGTAGGATCTAAGACAAACTTGGGCAGAGCTCAGTTTTTTGAAAACACGCGTGTCAGCTGCCCCAGATGGAAGGTCCAGCATTTGCAGAAAGGCATGGCAACAAGGCTGTCCTTAACTCAGATTGGGGTGCACAGGTCTGCTGCTCTGTTCCCCCAGCAGAGTGGCAGTGGCTCTGGGGACTGAGTTTATGGCTGGAGCCACTGAGTTCAGAGGCCCAGGAGCCTCCCAGCAGTTCCCCAGAGCCTGAGCTGCATGGGCTGGTGTGGGCCTTCAGACTGAGCCCCTTCCCACCTGCTCCAGTGGCCCTCGCTGGAAGGGCGGAGGCGCAGGGCAGCTGTGGCCGTGAGCAGCCTGCAGCCCGTGGCATCTCAGGACACCTCCCTTCCCTGCAGCTCCCTAAGCTTCGCGCCCCGCTTTCTCACTTCGGTCTTCCCAGGATCTGCCGGGATGGTGGTTACTGATCAGTGGTTACTGATGTACTGATCAGGAGAGCGCCCCAGGTGTGTCTGACTCTAGCAAGTCTAAATAGTAGCCGCAAATGCACAATAAGATGCAGGCATTACTGACAAAGTTTATTTTAATGTAAACTCCCAAAAGCAAGATGTGACAAGAAAAGGTGGCATTATACCGTCTACAATGCAGACGTGATTATGGTAGATCTGGTCCCTGACCGCTCTGCTACATCCCCATCCTCCACAGCACAGCACTCACAAAAAAGAAAGTCACAAAGGAAGACTTCACCACCCCCGATAAGCGTGTGGCTCAGTCACTTAGGCCCCCAGTGCTACGCACACAGCTCCAGCTGGCGGCTTCGCCAGCTGGGCGCCAGTGCACAGAGGGTTCAGTGGTATCGCCGTGGGAGGGGCAGCTGGCCTCCCCCTCAGGCACACAAGTAACCTCACTACACAGCAGTGGGCGCAGCCTGGGCCCCAGAACCTGCTCCCAGCCCAACAAAAAGCTCTCAGAGCCCTGCCTGCCACACAGGTGTACCCAGTAACATCCATTCGCCAGCATGGCATTCCTCTAGTTAATCCAGGAAGTGCCTTTGCTTAAGAGTAATAAAAGCTGGAGCAGGAAAATCACAAATTTGAGCCCACCCTGGGCAACTGGGCTAGAGCTCGTCTCAAAATATCAAAAGCGCTGGGGATGTGGCTCAGTGGCAGAGCGCCCTGGGCCCAGTCGTCGGAGTGGGCAGGAGACAAAGGATGAAGGTGCTTACTGCTTGCTCAGGGTTACTACACATTAAAGCCTAATCATGATCCAGACCCGAGATGTAAGTCACTGCCACGTCAGGGTGAAAGGGTGCGGAGAGACGGCAAACAGCTGGGACAGAAGCACAGGGACACATTTTGGGATAGGTGTGGGAGGCTGGAGGACCCAGCCAGTCTGGCGAGTAGACTAGCAGGAAGTGGTCAGTGAGGACTGGCCTCTGCCCTTCGGTCCTGATCAAGGCCCACTCATCTCCCTGGCTTCACCAGGAACAAATGAGAAGGTAGGGTTGTGTCTGTCAGACCACCCTTACCTGTGCTGACCCCTGCCCCTGCTTTCTTCTGAGGCCTGCAGGACTTCCCCAGTTGCTCTTCCAGGGCTTGCTCCCCTTGTCTTTACAGGATTAGTCAAGCCAAAGAATTCACAGGTGTCTGAGGGTTCCCACCATGCTCGGGAGCACTGGGGAGTGGCCAAGAAGCTGGGTGCTGGTGACTAGTTGTCTGCTTGGGAGGATGACAACAAACTTTTCAGGTGCTGCAGTACAAGCTCCTTGCAGCAGCTGAACTGCTCAGAGACTGACCTGTGTTAAAACAGAGGCCAGCCTTGAGCAGAACCGTCACAGGCTCTAAGGAGGAGGCAGCAGAGCGCTACCATGTTAGCATGAAGCAACTCAGGGCATTAAGTGCCGTCTGGGCACAGCCAGCTCCAGCCTCAGTAAAACTCCTCGTTTATGCATTCCGTCCCGACCTATCTGTCCCCAGAGCTTCTGACTGCCTCCTACCACTTACGTTCAGATAGCCAGTGACAGGCCCAGAGTGCGGTCCTCAACATTAAGCTGAAGGCTGCTGCCTCCTGAGTCCACCCCTAATCTTTGTGCTGATGTCCTGCCACTGAGAAGACATTTCTGTCACTGTCAGAAACCCACTCCTGTTGGCCTGGGGAAGGAAAACGGGCCACACTCTGGTCCACAGGCTGGCAACGTGTGCACTACCCAGCCCTAGGCATACTCCTGCCAGAGCTGTCACGGCCAGAGTGTCTTCTGGTGCCCACACGGGCCAAGGGCCCTGCGTACCGTGGTAGGATTAGAGTGTCAGCTGCCTGGGTACAATGAGAGCCTGGCCCGGGGCAAAGTTGATGTCTACCTGTGCTTTCTTTAGCAGATCAGATATAGGATCACAGCAGCCTGGTTCGAGCCTCTCGAACTCTAAGGTGATGATGACCAAAGCCAGTGTGGAGCCCTTGAACTGCAGCAGCTGGTGGCCCGCCATACAGTGCTGCAGTTGCCTGGTCAGGGACGCGACGTGGAGGGAAGGATTCGTCTGAGGCAGCAGATTCATCACGTGGGGCTGGCTCAGCATCACTAGGGCGTGGAACTAGAGACCATGGTTTTTAATGTTAGAATACCCCATACTTTTCATACTATCAGTGACCAAAAGTCCAAACAGTTGCAGTTTCCACTGGGGAGCACCCAGTAGGACCCAGTCCTTTTCATTTCTGTCCAGGGTCCCAGAAGGGGCTTGAGGCTTAATGTCCATTCTGTGGGCAACCCGAGCTTCCACCCTGGAGAGAAAAGCACTCTGCTTTGTGATGTGGTCATGAGGAGCCTACAGTATCTAGATGATTAATGTTTCCATTCTGAAAAACAGAAACATACTGTTCAAGATCAAGGGAGCTGAAAAGTTACTTGTATCTGCTTGACTTAAACTGTAGCAGTGGCCCGTTTTCACAATGAAACAGCCCTTAGTGATTTAATCTTCACGCTTCCTAACAGACCCAAGCCCTATGACATTTCCATTGCATAATTTTGCCTTACTAACAGAATCACATCCTTAAGGACGATCATCACTCCCCTCACTAAGACAAACTAATGTGTGATATTTTCTAAGTGCCAGATCAATATGGTCTAAAGCTTCAGTAAGGATTGTGTGTAGGTGAATAAAGACAGCTAAGTGAATGTGTGTAAAGTGTAGCAAAAGCAGACAGATATTTATGTACGAAATTCATAGAATGGAAAGTTAAATATTTTTGCAGTGTGTATTTAAAAAGAAACTCACCATAATAGTGGCATCTGAATATCTTTGTCAAGTTAATTTAATGTCCTTTTAAAAGGAGAGGCTGGTAGCAGTGTTGGATTTAAGACGCATTTTCACTCCTCCATAAGCAGTGAGCCCTGTGGGTTACCTCGCTGCGGTGCATGTGCAAGGACCTGTGCACACCTGTGCTTTGCTGTCCTGTGTCGTGAACAGCTGTTCCAAAGGCACACACGAGTGTCAGGGAGACTCCGCAAATGCCTCATGCTTACTATATTCAAGAAGTCCAGAGGTGTTGCAATGTGGAGGTCCCAGTGCAGGTCCTTCAGAATAGATATCTCCATCCTCCGCAGCTCATTCGGGGAATAGCAAGAGCCGCAGTGCTTTATGAAGTCCGTGACACATGGAATTAACTGTAAAAAGACAATAAAGAGGCCAAAGCCCTACATCATGTCATAGTAGCTTTTGTTTTCTCATCTATGGGGACTGGGTGTCCACACCCTGAGGAGAGTGGTCATCCAATGGCCTGCCACAGGAAGTGTTTGAGAGGAAACACCAGCCAGAACTTAGCTGGCTGCCAGTTCCCCAGGAAGTTGTGACACTGTGCTCAGACTCAGGTCTTCTGGAGGCTGAGGCTGTGCCATCTCTTGTTCGGCCACGACAACTTACCTGAGGTTTTCCAGGAGCCATGGGGTCTGCCATTCCTGTTCCTCAGCCCTGTCACGGCTACTCACGGAGAGGAAATTTAGGCCTTTGGGTTTCCTGAGAGGCTCGTCAAAACCTCCCATGGTTTTTGCAGCACTACAGCTACACATGCCTTCCCTCCAACCTTAACTGAAGGTGGTTCAGGACTAGCAAAACTGACTTTTCTCCAGAGGGGCTTACTAGGCCAGAGGGACCAAACAAGGTTGTCTGTAAGTAAACATTAAAATACCGAGAGCATTCAAGACTCATTCTTACCTTTTGTAGATGAGCAAAGTATTACTATAACTTCGAGATACTTCTAAGGGTCATTTACTTTATTTTTTGTTGTACAAAAACAACTTAGGTACAAATTATGTTTAACCAACAACTGTTAAAATTTTTATCGAATGTTCAGAGCTGGACACACACACACACACTCCCCCCGCACCTTCCTCAGATGCACACATCAACCCAGGGAGACTGCAAGTGGTCGTAGTTTCCCCATCACCCTAGTGGAAAAGGTCAGAGGGTAGGGGGAGGTCTGAGAGGGTCCTGCAACAGTCTGCTGAGCTGAAAGCCACAAGGGAACTCAGGTGACGGAGCACGCAGCTCTCGTGCACCTCCCAGAAAAGGGTGCCAAGGACCGAGTTCCCTGTCTTTAAGTCTCAAGCAGCTTTTTTTGGACATAGTTTCTAGGGGCGAAATTCAAGCCACATGGTTTAAAAGGATCTTTTCTCCGTAGCTCAACGGCAGACACCAGTGAGGCCGGATGTGTCTGCCAGCCCAGGCCTGTCCTTCTGCAGGACGGGGTTCAGCTGTTCTTTCCACTTGTGGGGTCTGAGTGTCTCACAAGCCAAAAGCAGGGGGTTAGCAGAGATCGTGGGGAGTTAGAGACGGTTCCAAAGTGCGCACCATCCCGAGGGCACCAGCTTTCAGGAACCCGGTGCGCTCCCCAAGGTTGCACCCCAGTCCCTCGGGTGCAGCCGGGTGCGGACCTCCAGGGAGCCATACCTCGTCCTCTTCGTTCAGTTTCGCAGCCAGTCTTAAACACACGATTATGGCGCACTGGAGTGTACACTCTCTTACCTGCGGCGTGAACACATGTGGACACACTCCAGAAGCAAATTGGAAAGGACCCGAGGGGGGTTACTTTAAGAAAATAAGCGCCCCTTTCCCCCAAAAATGCGTTCCTCCAAGGGACAGAAGAAAGTTAGTGCTGCTTCTAGACAGGCCCGAGGAGGACGCTCTTGGTTTCTGAACCACGCTTCCCGGCCGTGCTCCCTTGTCAGGGAGCTGACAGCAGGGCACACACGCTGCCTTCTGGGGACGCAGTCTAGGCTCGAAGCCCTGCGAGCCCGTCCTGCCAAGCGCATCCCTGCAGGAAGAGGACTTTCCCAGCTGGGTCCTCCCGCCCTGCGCCAGCCCAGCTCTAAGGCCGCCGGTCACGGAGTCAGGCAGGGCCGGGGCCCGGCGCGACCGTGGCGCGGCTCCAACCCCAGCGCCACCCTTGGGAGAGAAGCCCTGGGCTCGGGGGCACCGGTTCGAGCACCGCGCGGGCCGCTCCGGGGAGCAGAGCGCCGCCTGCGCGCCCCCGGGAGGCCGCCCTACCTTCACCGAGGCCAGGAGGCGCGCAAAGATGCTGAGCGCCGGCGTAACAACTCCAGGCCGCCGCTCAGCGCCAGGAGCCACTGCACGAGCCCCCGGTAGGCGTCGCGGATCTCGGGTTGCTGGAAAAGGGAGCGGAGGCCAGGGGCTGGTCCCCTAGGGGCGGCCGCCGCGTGCGCGGGGACCAAAGCGACAAGGGGACCCAGGGGCCCTGGCCCTGCGCGCGCGGCGAGAGGTGCGGAGTGCCCGAGCCCGCGCGCCCGCGCCCGC